TCACACTGTTTGTCATCCTTTCTACAACCTTGTGACCCACAGCTGTCACATCACGATGGTTCTCAGGGCAGCATCATGTGGAGTTGAACTGTGGGAAGCTCATGCAGTGAATTTGAAAACTTTCTTCCCAAGTCATTACCTGCTTCTTCCAGGGCTGGGGTACCTGGTCCAGGCATATTGGTCTCTCCCCTCAGGTCCTCTACCCCTCCTCAGACATGCCAATAGAACTAGACCATCTCAGGATCCACAAACATCTTAACATCCCAGCTTAATAACCTATCTCTTTGGCACTCCTCTCTTACACAGCCATCTTAGATTACTGTAGACATATTCTGTGTAGCCACAGAGAGTGGATGTTTCTGGAACGTTCAAGGATATTGAAGTTATATGATCAGAGAATGGACAACCTTGCATGGTATGTGATCTCCTCTAAGACTGGCACCAAAGGATGTGAGCTCTGGTCAACTTACTGAGGAAAGGCTATCCTGTGAGGCTTGAAAGGGCCTGTAGCCAGGCCTCTGCTTGAGAGCAACACACTGGCCTTGATATAACCCTTTTCTCAAACTTGTACAGTGTCTACACCTTCATTTAAGGCTAGAGGGGGGAAAATAAATTTACTCTTAAGTGCCAACTCGAGCTAATTGGTATTGGTTGTCTGAGTATTCTGTGAAGAAGGAGTCTGAGACTGTTTTCAAATTTATCAGGAGAAAATGCTATCACTAATTCGCTATGCTTGCCACAGATAATGGAGAGGAAGGGGGTGAGAAAGAGGATATGGGGAAATGGAATATGGAAACATTGCTACTAGAGAAGCTAGTGTGCAATGGTCTGGAACTTTCCTTGGCCTTTTATTGAGTGTCACAAATGTAATGATACACAGGCAAGTTAGGAGTGCGGTTTTGAGGGGGCAAATTTTAGGGAGGGGTGACAAATGGTCTTAATGGTGGGTTCCAGATGCTCCATATGTTGAACATTGCAAGTGATGCATGGATGGCATCGATCCACCTGCAGGAGACAGGAACATCTGTTCAAAATCTGAGAAAGACAACTTGCAGAAAGAATTCAGGCCTGGGCCTGTCTGGGTAAAGACTGATTTTCAGTGAGATGGACGAGATCAGTTTCTCTCTTCTGAACAATGTCATACGTGGTCTGGGTTTGTTTAGTTCCTCTCAGAGAAATGGCAGGAAGCTTCAAAATTGTATGTGACAGATGGGGTCCTCTACAAAAAAATTTTTAACTCTGGTGTTTGAACAGTTGACATTTTCTGTATGTTCAATGTCAGTAGAGGCAGAAGTACTCTAGGGCGCCGCTGTCCAGGAAAAGCACCTCTGAACAAATACTGTGCCTCATAACTGTTCTTTCGTTCTTTTGTTTTGTGAGTCAACAGGAGGAAAGCGCTGCTGGACTCCTGCCTATAAAAAAAGAGGATGGTGGCAGTCCTCGAAGGCAAGGACCATGCCCCTACATGCACTAGGACTCTTAATAAGGCTTGCCAGAGAAGGAGAGCCTGGCTCCTACACCGGGTGGGCAGGCCATGGAGTTACTCAGCCACTAAGGTTTACCCGCGGGCTATCGAGGGCAGAGCTTTCCAATCATGTGCCACAGCGCCCACAGAGCTGGGCCGGCAGAGCACCCACCAGCCTCTAAGGAACCAGGTGGGCCTGGGGGGCCCCGAGTCCATGGGTGTAGGCCCTCTGGCCATAAACATTATCTATTCACTGTACCACCTATTTTCTATGTGTGCCGTGACATTAGGGGAAGAAAAGTTGAAAGTACTTCAAAAAAGTAAGTTATTATGATCAAAAAATTACTCTTGGGCTATAGAACAAAACGCTTAGCATTTTGTGATCACACAGAACAGACCTGTGTAATATGTAGTTCCTATATTCTGTTGAGCAAGATCTCTGTCTTCGATGGTCTGTCTTCTGTCCAACCACCCTTGCAGGATTCCTGGGTTCCTGGTTGGTTGGTCACAGATGGCTGAGCATTGTATCACCATCTGTAAACTTCGTTTCTTTTATCCAAGTACCACTGAAAATAATCAGCTCTTCTCCTATAACCTGCAAAACCCTACACGACTCAGCTATTACTTTTGTCAACCAATGAAAGATGCTCACCTTTATTTCAATATTTATCAAGCATTTAACAATTACAATGAGGGGCCTTCTTAAAAATAGTTCATACCCTAAAATATCCAATGATTATTCATTATACCATTCAGAAACTAAAGTGCATGGTATAATTATCCTTCATTAATTTATTCAGCAAATACTTGAGTGCCTACCCAAACCCAGGCTCGTGCTGGGTGCTGGGAAAGCCTAGATAAATGGGTATAATCCGGGCTGCCAAGGACCTCATCATCCTGTGAAGGTGACAGACGAGAACACATAGTTGACACTTGGCAAAGGTAAGAGTCAGTGCAGGCAGGTGTAAGGTGCCAGGCGTGCACCAGGACAGGGAGCCCTCCTGCCCAAGTGGAGGAACATGTGCCATCCAAGGAAAGTGGCCTCTCTGGAAAGGTATCTGACACAAGAGCACTGCAAAATTATTTTCCAGAGCCTTTTGCAAGCATCGTCTCCTCTTCAAAACAATAAGAGAAAGAAACGGAGGGTATCCCTCCAAAATATCTGCCATCATTCTATAGATGGAGCTTGCAAGGCCTGTCTAAGAGGGTCTGCCTACTTCTTTCTGAGAGCCATGGCTGCAAGTGGGTGAAACGTCACTGGAAACAGCATGCAGAGATGAGTGACTTGGGTCCTCTGCCAGAGTTACTGTTGTTTTCTTTGTTCCCCGCCACATCGATAAGCATTTATCTCTAAAACATCTGATAGACGTGCCCATGATATTCTTGAAATCACCTTTTCCCATTAGGAAAGTCCTGAGAATCTGTCCCAAAGATAGCGGTAAATTCACAGCCTTGGGAAATTCATGATTTTTACCTCCAGTGTTCTTGGTGGCATCTGTTCCCACTTTTCATTCTCAAGTGCTGGCTGGCATATCCAGCAGGGCTGCTGCCTCCAGGCCCAGCCCTTCCATCATAACCCATGGGAGACCCACGACCACCCCTGGATCAGACCGTATTTGGTGTCACCTCCCCAAATAAAGACCAAAAAAAGGTGCTAAAGGAAAAGAAAGATACTTTTTTGCTTTGGCTTTTGGTGGTGGGGACATCAACCCAAGGAGCACCTGGCAATATGGGCCCTGCCCCACTTTCCTGGGCCCTGAGCCACTTGCAGAATCCTGAGGGGCTACAAGTGAAGGGCCAGGGCATGAGAGCTGAGTCAGACCTTGTGCAGCCATTTACAGAGCTTCAAATTGGGAGTCAGGAGACCTGGGAACAACTCCTGGCTGTGCCATAATTAATGAGCTGTGTGGCTTAGGTGAGTTCAGTTTTCTGGACGTGGGAGGTAGACAGTGATCTTGTAGCTCCATGCAATGCCCAGGCAAGGGTACTAAGGACAAAATATCGCTCTGCCCAGAGGCCAGGGGTTGGGGGGGTGGTGTGTGAGGGGGGGCCAGGGCCGCTGACACTGCGCTACAAGAAACAGGAAGCAAGCGTCCAGCAGAGGTTGCAGAGGGGCCCTGGGGCAGGCTGATGTTCCAGGTGTGTCTGACATGGGATCGGGGTGGGGGGCTTCTCCCTGGAGTTATGGAGGAAGTGAGGGCCTGGCGCTGGCACACAGACAGGACGCTGGAATGGGGACTTTCTTCCCCGTCCTGCTGCCTAGAGGGAAGGGACATGGTTGCCTGTTTGCCCTTTCAGTCTGGGAGTATAGACAAAACCCTTTTCCTTGCTCATGCATATCCCATACATGCTCTGGGTGTGGGTCTTGCTATGTTCTGAGCTTTGCTAAAATCATTTTTGTGCAAACGGTGTGATCCAGATGGGTTCTCTCAATGTAAGAGTGCACTCAGGTCAGCTGTGGAGCTTGGTAAAAATAGACTACAGTTCAGCCAGTCTGAGATGGGACCTGAGAGTCTGCATTTGATGTCCATGGAGCTGGCCCATGAACCAGACTCTAAGCAGCAAGAATGCTGAGAAAAGGACTGGGGGCTGAGAGTCACATGGCCATTGGTAGGAAACTCCAGGACCCATTCCCACCTCGGTTATCCAGCTTGTGCAGACAACAATGCCCAGGCATTATTCCCAACCAAAACCGCAGGTGGCCACTAGATCACAGCGGCCGGAGTGCCCTGGAATCCCAAGCAGAAAGTGTTAAAACTGTGTACCTCTGGGACCACCAAATACTCCAACTGATCCACGTGGGGTGGACATGGGTGCATGGACCTCAGCAAGCCAGCAGGATGCTGTAATCCCAGGCCCAGCTTTGGGAAACTCTGTCCCAAGAGATGAGCACGCTCTGCTCCCCCCACAGTCTGTATTTTCAACCTACTCCCAGATGAGTCTGATGCTGCTGGTCCCAGGACCACATCTCAGGTGGGAAGAACCCAGGTCAGTGGTTCTCAGCTCAAGCTCCTCAGAGCCACCTTTTAAATATGACAAGCATTGAAAAACTTTCGTTGGTAGGAAGCTCCAGGACCCATTCCCAGCCTCGGTTCTCCAGGCGTCGGGTAAAGAGCCCGGTGGTTCCAAAGCACGGTCAGCATCGAGGACCGCCCGCCCCAGCCCCCTCTCCAGAGGGAGGCCAGGTCACTAGCTGCGGCACTTGAACGCCAGCCAGGCTGGCAAGGCCCAGCTGAGAAGGTCCTTGAGCTGTTCCCTGCTGGGGAAATAGGGCAGACCAGCTCATCTCTGTCTTGGCAGGTGTAGGTGTCTGTGACACGGTCCCTGTGGGGAAAGGGATTGGAAGTGTTTACAGGGGGAGCAGAGACACTGGATGCTTGACACAGACACAGATGTGGTTACTACCTGCAGCCTCACAGCGACCGCTCCTGCCCTTCCAGCTTCTGCATGTGACTTGTCCCCACACCGCCTGCTTGGCTCTCCCTGGGCACAGGCCAGGGCAGACACTGATCTGTCTTGTTTTGCCCCTGGCCAGGTGGCGGGAAGGAGCAGCCAGCGGCAGCAAGCACGAAGGCCGATGAGGGCTTGGAGGCCGTGCCCCCCAAGCCCAGGAGCGTGTTCCACATCGAGTGGTCATCCATTCGGAGGAGGAGCAAAGGTGTGTGCTGCTGCCCCTTCACTCTCGGGTCGATTTGCTCATCTCTAGAATGGGGACAATGGCAGTGCCTACTTCACTGGGCGGTAGGCAGAGCCATGAGGGCCAGGCTTGTTTTTCTCACACCCAGCCTGTGACCACAGCACTGCCCCATTGTCTAGACCTGTCAGGGGCCGGGGGGATGCTGATGCTGGGATAAGCAGCTGACTCGGGAGGTCTCAAACTTGACTGCATATTGGAATCCCCTGCCTCCCATCCCAGGAGACTAATCTAATTCATCTGGGGAGCAGCCCTAGCCAACGTAAGATCTTCCAAAGCTCCCCAGGAGAGTTTAATTTCTTTCTGAGCCACAAACCACAGGTATACCGACAGGGCTTGAGGTAAAAAGTTCTCACCCACAGTGGCCACCGAGATGTCAAGGCCAAGGAAACAGGTGGAGAGTCGTGGATAGGAGGGGGCTCCCACAGACCAAGAGAGGCAGCCAAAATGAGCCAGGGAGGAGCTCGGGGCCAGGGAAGGGCTCGCCCGGAGTCCTTGCTAGTCAGATGCAAAAGTAGCCATGTGATGGGTCTGGGCAGAGGGGCAATCTAATTCTGCCCCTGAAACCTCAGGGAGGGGAACCGACTCCCCCACAGTCATGCAGCTGGTGAAGGACAAGGCGGGAGAGGACCAGTCAGTGTCCTTCATACAGCCTCACATGCTTTCTAGAAGACGTGTTTGTGACATTCTTGCTCTGCTTCACCTAAGCCTCCTAGTTTCTCACCATCTAGAGTGGCCAACACAGAAAACAGGGCCGGGGGCAGAGGGAGAACATGTCCTACATGGTAGAAAGGGTACTGAGACTTCTCAGGGACCCTCTAGCCCAGGAGTTTGTATCTGACAGGGGCGGGGGGTGGGGGCCACTGGCATGGCAAGGAAGAGGTACGGCCTTCCTCAGAAGGTTAACAACCCCCCTCCAAACATCCTCCCTCACGGGGCCTGGGGACTGGGAGTGGGGAGAGTGCCAAGGAGCCTGGGACGTGGGCTAGTGGAAATTGCTCAACAGCAGCCACGGGTCGGGGCAGGTGATGATGGGGGTGTTCCACACACAAGCAGTGGGTCCACCAGGAGACACAGACACACAGGCCTCAACTCCTAGAGGACTCTTTGCTCCTACTCTTTATCTCAAAGCTTCCAACATTAATTAGTTTGCCCTGCATAGTGTAACTTCCCAACCACACAGGTAATTGCAGCCCCTGCCCCTTCAGAACTGGGAGCTCAGCAATGCGTCCTTCCAGCACACAGGTGCCCTAAAGGCTCCTGAAAGCAGCAGAACGGCCAGTTCAGTCTGAACCTACAGGGAGGGCACTCAGACCCCAGCCTGCCATCCTCGCACTTGACCACGAGAGGGAACCAGAGCACCGAGGCCGAAGCTTGCCAAGGCCTTCTTTTCGGATGCATAAAACCCTGCTACACTTGGTCATCCTAAAAAATAACCCATCTGGTAATCATGAAAAAATAGGTTTGCAGCAACTTCACAAGGGTTTCCTAGAATTACAAGAACATGACCAAATCTGTTTCAAGGATTGATGTAGACATCACTTGTCTTAATCCAACTGGCAGTTGCTGCTAAAATCAGAAATAAATCCAAAAACACAAGACCAGGACAGCCCAAGGTCATCCAGATGGAGAGAGTCATGGTCAAACTCAAACCCACACTTTGCATGGCTCAGGCAGTTTAATCCTCTGGGAGAAATAACATCCAAGTTTTCCTTCCTTCTACGCTTAAAAGTTCATGCAGTGTAGGAGAAGGAACCCTAGTTTGGAGATCATGGCCAAGGCACTGTGTCCTTATCTGAGAAATAGAAACGTTGAACAAACTCAGAGCCTCTTCCCTGGAGGCCAGCCTCTGAACTCCCTAAATTCAGAACTCCCTAAAGTGTCCTGTTTACATGGGGAAGTATATTTTCCACCTAATGTGAGAGTCCAAATGGGTTCTTGACCGAAAATTAAAAGAGGCCTTCCAGCTGCAAGACGCCATGGTTCTGTACTCACACAAGTGGAATAGGAAATACTGAGTATTTCAGCCCCACCTGGAGAGCTCTGCTTGGGTGGGTAGAGGTGTCCTAATTAATGTTGTGCTTTCCTTAACTCCAGTGTTTGGAAAAAGCGAACACCAGGAGAGACAGACCAAAGACCCTTCTCCCTATCAGTACCGGAAGCCCACGGTTGAGCTGCTGGTGAGTCACAAGTGGCCGAAATGCGGCAGGGTCCCGGGCCACAGAGCCTGCCACAGATCAGGGAGCAGACACTGGGGAAAGATGTCCTCTGATTTAGGCCAACTTTTCTTGAATTCGTTATTTCTAGAAACTAAATTACCTGAGATAAAAAAAAAAAATGTCTGTTTTTTGTAGTCTACTTTATAAAACTTCATGTTCCTTTTATTTGACGTAGTTACTATGTGTCTACCTCTAAATCGGGCATTCAAGCATTTTGGAAACAAGCCAGTACCAATTTTTTTAGAAACAGAATCTTCACATGTTTAATTTTAATGGATAGTTAAATTTTATAGACGCGACCTGCTGGGGGGTGGGGAATAAATTCTTCTGGGAAGAGCATGGTGTTGTGGTGGTAATGGTTTAAATAAAGAGCCTAAAGATATGTGGTTAGATATCAGCTCTACTGTTGGACCTTGATCTTTGCCAATGAGAACCCTCCACCCATGCCTGAGCCCTCACCCCCAGGATGAGGACAAACACAGTGCCCGTCGTACTGCAAGGCTCTGGCCCATATTAAATGAAGTAACGCGTCAAACAAGACAAGGTCTTCCTGTCCACAGAAACATGGAGACCACCAAGCAGCAGTATCACTAGATACCCAATGAAAACGTTAGCATGGTCCCCGAGCCAGCACAAAGGTGGCTGCTCAGCATGTAAAGCACAGGATATGGGAGCCCCTTGTCTTGTCCCTGGACAGGATCTGGACACCATGGAGGACAGCGCGGAGATAAAGGTAGAGGCGAGCACATCCAAGGCCTCCTGGATTCAGAGCCACGTGGCAGCCAGCGGGAAGAGGGTTGGCAGGGCCCTCAGTTACATCACAGGGGAGATGAAGGAGTGTGGCGAGGGGCTGAAAGGTAAGTCCACCCTGCCCCTAATGTGTCGCTGCTACCCGTCCCAGCAGGTGCAATGCCACTGGCCTTGACAGATTAGACTGAGGGCCCTGTCTAGGGTCTTCTAGAAGGGATAAAAGTCTTTTGCTGTTACAACAGACATGCAGACACTTGGGACGTGAATGCACTAGGCGTCAGTGTGCAAGCCCTCATTTTGGAACATAGCAGCCGAGCTGACACACATCCCCTGGGACATTTATGCATGAGATTCTAGAATCTGCATTTTTTCTTAAGATTTTATTTATTTATTCATGAGAGACACACACAGAGAGGCAGAGACACAGGCAAAGGGAGAATCAGGCTCCATGTGGGGAGTCCAATGTGGAACTCAATCCTGGGACCCGGGGTCACAACCTGAGCTGAAGACAGATGTTCAACTGCTGAGCCACCCAGGCGTCCCTAGAATCAGCATTCTAAAAAAAAAAAAAAAATGCCTGCCCTACAGATGACACTTGGGAGAACTATGTTCAGTGTTCCAGTAAGTTCTCTCTAGCAATCTTCCCAGAGCCTGTGGCTTTGACACCTTCTATGCAGCTAGAGAACTTTCCTCTTGGATACGTCTTCTTGAAAACTCTTGCCACCCTCACAAGGGCACAGATGGCTCAGGGGACCTTGTCCCCACAACCTAAAAACCAAAGTAAAGATCATAGAGCTGATGAGGGGTCTAAAGAGTTTTCTCATGGGTTTTTGATGCAGCTTCCCCTGTGGCAGGTGGCAGTGGGGGCTGGTGCCCTGAGAACCCCCTTCAGTGTGGAGCTCCCCACACCCACCCCCCACGCCCACCGGAGTCTCCCGCGGGCCTGGCACACCTTAACTTTGACTCCCTGCCCTGCTTCCATTTCAGACAAATCTCCCGTGTTCCAGTTCCTCGACTGGGTTCTCCGGGGCACGTCGCAGGTGATGTTTGTGAACAACCCCCTCAGCGGCATCCTCATTGTCCTGGGCCTCTTTGTCCAGAACCCCTGGTGGGCCGTGTCGGGATGCTTGGGCACTGTAGTGTCCACCTTGACAGCCCTCATCCTGAGCCAGGACAGGTAAGTTCCAGGAGCCCTGAGACTCAAGCACAAGGCCAGAGGTGGCTTCCTGCGGGGACCATGGGCCACCTTCCCCTCGCCTCCCCGCTGGCCTCCAAGCTCAGAAACCCCTCCATTAAGTACTAACCACAGCCACTCATTCATTATTTGGGAACAGCTTCACGTTGTCCAGGGGGACCAGGAAGGGTTGATGGCTTTCCTTCCTGTGCCCAGTGGGGCCATCCTCTGGAAGGTGTGTGCAGTCAGGCCCCCACTGACAAAAACCTGGGTCACAAGGGGAGTCAAGAAGGCAGTGCCCCCAGTGCCCCTCCCGAGGCCCCGGGAAGACCCCACCTCACCCGGCCTCCTACATCCCCCCAGGTCTGCCATCGCGGCGGGACTTCACGGCTACAACGGGGTGCTGGTGGGGCTACTGATGGCCGTGTTCTCAGACAGAGGCAACTATTACTGGTGGCTCCTGCTCCCTGTCATCATTATGTCCATGTCTTGGTAAGTTTGCTCCTGATGCTGTGCATACAGTCAAGGGCCCCCCCCCCCCAGCCTTTCATCCCAGCTCTCTGCGTGTCTCCACTCCACTTTAAGGGGGCATTGGCTTAGCTGGCACATGGGAAACATCCACCAGCAGTAATTCCTCGTGTCACACAGCGACAGCCCTGTGCCCGGGAATCTGGGGATGGTATCACCTGCCATCCCTCACTTTTCTCTTTTTAACATGTCAAGGGGTTTCCGCCAGAGCACAGAGGAAGGAACTGGGGCACATATAGGTGAAGAGCCATACCACAGCGTGCTGTCAGTTTCTAGAAACTTTCTCACACTCCCCTACCACCGCCGCCCCCCCCCCAGCTTTTCCCCATCCTCAGGAACCCCTGACCAGCCTGGGACAACATCCTAGTGTAGCCTGAAGGACCAGCCACCAGGCAGAGCCCTCCGAGGGCCAGCCTCAGCTCCCCTTCACCTCCAGAGATCAGCACAGGGCACTCTGGCCAGGAGGCTCGGCGCTCTCGGCTGCTCCACGAACGTTTGTTGAATGAATAAATGAAGGAATTTATTCATAGAATGACTGACTCCCCTCCCTGTCACTCTCCCAGCTTGTCCTCTCTCCTCAAGCCTGAGCGTGGAGCTATATGACTTTTCAAGGAGTTTCTGTGACCCCTTGCCTTGGGTCTTGCCCCGAGAAAGCCCTCTCTCAGCAGTTGAGCCCAGGTGTTTGCCCTGTCACCACGCCAGGCCCGGGGAGGAGGCCAAGGGAACACAGGCTCAGGGCCAGTCAGGCTCAGAGAACGTACCCAGCAGGCTCCCCATCCTCAGGAAAGTACAGGGACCAGCCCTCCCCAACTCCTGCCCAGCCTAGTGTCAGGGCGGGAGCCTCCTGAATGGAGTCTCTTATGTTTCTGCCACAGCCCCATCCTCTCCAGTGCCCTGGGCACCATCTTCAGCAAGTGGGACCTCCCCGTCTTCACACTGCCCTTCAACATAGCTGTGACCCTGTACCTGGCGGCCACTGGCCACTACAACCTCTTCTTCCCCACGACGCTGCTGCAGCCCGCCTCCTCCGTGCCCAACATCACCTGGTCAGAGGTCCAAGTGCCCTTGGTAGGTACCGTGGAAGGCGGGGGGCAACATCTGTCCAAAAGCCATGTCAAAGTGGCATTTGCGGATTCCACATGCCAAAAGCCTCCCCGGGTAATGGCTGAACCACGACTCGGTGTGAGGCGCTCCACATGCAGCCCCTCGTTAGCCACCATCCTTTTCCTTCCTCCTTCTGAGAACTAACAGGACCATTTGTGGTCTGACACTGACATAGCACAGAGAAAGAAACTGAGGCCTGAGGTCATGCAGCTAATCGGTGAAGAGCAGAGTCAACATTAGCCCTCCGGCCTCCTGACTGCTTTGAAAAAAATCTTTCTGAGGCTTTCCTCCAATGTTGCTCCAGTTTATTCTGTGTATTCCCTTCTATCCGTGTCACTGATAAAGGCACACACAGCACAAGGCCACCTGTGGGCTACAGAAGTCTCTGTTCTGACCCCCAGACTTGATTCCATCCGCTCTCTCAGGCACGGTCCCACGGTGAAGCACAGGTGTCTCATTAAGAAATGTCTACATATCAGAGCTTTGAATGGTGTTTTACGAGGATTTTGCATAGAACGCCTGCCTCTGGAAGTCTGCCCAGATAATTAATAAGACATGTTTTCGCTGAGGTTCTCCTGTTTTCCATTACACTAGACTACACTCCATGGTCGAGGGCTCCCTCTGGAACCTTGTTATTGGCAGGCCATCATCTAACCACAAAGCCGCTTGGGCTTTGTTGGAAGAACTTTCAGAAACAATGAGGCCTACGTTCTTTTAGCATTTCATAGTATACAACAGCATGGCCTGGTAGAAAGGGCCCTGTGTTTGCAGTAAGAAATATGATTTAGGAAGAGAAATACTCGTGTTAGCTTCATCCATGTTGATTTGCGTCTGTGTATGTGAGGACCCTCATGAACCAGAGGTGAGAAAAGGTTAGCAATTCACTCATTACACTTCCCTTTCCTGGTATTTACCCCCCTCAATGAGTTTCGAAGGCACAATTGCTCTAACTTGTTGCCTATGGGGGATGGTGTTAAAAAAGGCAAGATTAAGAAAGTTTGCATTCTCTATGCCACATTTCCAATGGCAAAGATATCTAGGAATTTTGTAGAAGGGAACAACAATTAGGGAATCTCATACAGACACTTCGGAGCTCCAAAGTTCTAGGAAAGAGAAATGCAGTTTGTGCTGGTCGCCTTTTAAGAAGTAACTTTCCTGCCAATCAAATGGATTACGACAATGACCCCTATGTTTTGTCCTTCTGACCATTCATGACAGCCTGCAGCATTGGGGGGCCAAGTCAGTGTCAGAGAGAGAGTCTAACACTCCCAACAATGTCGAAGCCCCATGAGTTCCTCAGCTCTTTGGTCACTGGACGGCCCCCTGGACAGGGCCACCAGCTAGGACCACACTGCCCAGCACCACTGCCTCTGCATCAGACTCCCCCACCTGCCTGCCTTTGCCCACATGGTAATACCAGAGCCCCCACCCTCTTCTCTCTGTTGGGGGTCCCAGGAGATTGAGTCTGGCCCACCAGGCCAACCCACAGGCTCCTGCCGTGTCTTCCTGTCCCTGCACACCTCCAGGGGCCAAGTCCTCTCAGAAAGCAATGGGCTGAGACAAGAGCTGGCTCCTCAAAATACATGGCCACCCTGGCCCCGGGAATCTGCTCCTTCTCAGCTCACCACCCGAGGGGTGAGAAAACCCCAGTGTACCCTGCATGGCCCAAAGGCCCCTCCTTTATACACTCTACTAACTCAAGAACCTTTGGCCAACTTCCAAAGCATAGGGGCTAACCCCCATTACTGGGGAAGGCTGCATGCTCAGGATCCTTTTCCTGAACTCCGGAGCACCTTTGCAAGTGCCCATAAGGCAGTGGATCCTGCCTTGTCAAACCCTTCACTTTGGCAGACGGGTCCCCCATCCCCAAGCTCCCTGGAGGCCTGATGCAAGCAGGGTGTTCACCCACCAGTCACCATCTGATTGGTGTACCAAACAAGAGAGCAGAGACCGTGATCCTACCTCCTCAGGGACCCTTCTGTGGACATGAGTCCAACTGCTCACATAGACTAACGTGACCATCACCCAGACACCTTATTCTTGGAAACACAAAGGACCATTTTTTCATATAATATTCATAATTCTAGTCATAATTCTAGGGTGTTTTTTTAAATGTTACAAGAGGGTTTTCAAACCCTTTGGTCACACATCTCTTGCTTTTGTAATGGATAATTCCCTCATTTTAAGTTTTTAGTTTCTCTTCACTGGGGGTTTAGTGCCTTACACTAACGTCTCTAAATAAAGGAAGCTTAACATCCTGAATGCGTATTGGTCTAAGAACTCAAGATTAAAGCAAAAAAGCTGTGTTCCTTTTAGAGTTAATCTATTTGAATACAAACATCTTGGAAACCTGCTGCAAAACATGGGCGTAGAGGGTTTGGCACAAATTGTTTCCAGCCAGGGCTCAAGTTGTGTTGTCTCCCTCTATAACCACATGCGACTCTTTGCACCCACAGCTTCTGAGAGCCATCCCTGTTGGAATCGGCCAGGTGTACGGCTGCGACAACCCCTGGACTGGAGGCATCTTCCTCATAGCTCTGTTCATATCATCACCTCTTATTTGCTTGCACGCTGCGATTGGCTCCACCATGGGGATGTTAGCAGGTTAGTGTCATCACTTCTTCCTCTCCGATGGGCCATAAGGATGTTAGTGTCTGGAGTCGACTCCAAAGAAAATGGTGACATGTGTCTTTAATAACCCTCTCCTCCTCCTCCCACTGACTCCTGTAAACTTTCCTTCCATTATACCCTGTTTTCCCCACTTTAGGTGCCAGTGTCCTCATGCCTCTGGAACGTTTGAAGTGTTAACCATTTACATCTTAGTATAAATTTAAATTCGGGGAGAGGTTAATTCCAGGCATGTTTGTAGTTTACATCCTATCCCGAGGGATGATACTCCAGTAGAGAACGTTAAGATAGCAATGAAGAAGGAAAGGTCTTCTTTCTTGGCTGGAGGAAGGAACTTCTCTGGACTGGACTGTTTAAAAAGGCTGTAGAGTCCTTACTTAGAAAGCTCTCTTCTTCCCCTGACACTTCACTGCTAGTACTCATGTGGTTCTATGGCCATATCAGTTTATTTTAGTTATTTTTTCACTGAATAAGATCAAAAGTTCTTTTTCTATAAAAGCCTAAGGGAGTGGCCAGTCTGGGCTTTGAGCACGGTGGTGGTTTCCAGGGCCAGCAGGTGAGCCCCCGTGAGATCCCCCTAAACTCAGCACCTATGCCTGTCTTCTCCCGCAGCCCTCACTATAGCAACACCCTTGGAGTCCATCTACTTCGGCCTGTGTGGCTTCAACAGCACACTGGCCTGCATCGCGATAGGAGGCATGTTCTACGTCCTCACCTGGCAGACCCACCTCCTGGCCGTTGCCTGCGGTAGGGACCACCTCCAGCTCCCTCTGCACCTCACACACCTCCCGTGTGGCTGTCCCTGTGCGGAAAGCCACCCTGAAAATTTGGCGGGCCGTTCAGCAATAAATGGGAGGATTGTTTGCGTCCTAAAAGGGTTTCTATCTAAAACTGTTCGGAATGGTCGGTTGCTCAATGATTCACATGGTAGAAGTTATTTTCACGGAACAAAGAGCTCAGCCACACGAGGACAGAATTTCTAGATGATGGTTGTTCGGGGGTTGTTAGGGGGGGGCTGTCTCTGTGATTGTTACTCTCCTGGCTGGTGACAGAAGCTGATAGAACAACTCTTCTTCCCCAAAATTCATCTTCATATATAGAATTGGGTGATTTACATCAGATAGATGGAAGCAACCAAACACTGATCACAGGACCTTCAAGTAATGCTTATGTGACAGGAATGCCAAGGGCTGTGGGCACCCAGTGCCTCTCTTATAAAGATTTGCTCTTGTTAATATGCTAGGGACAACTGGGCAGCCTTCAGTTGAGAAACTGGGGGTTCAGAAGCAAAGCCCAATTATACTGGCTCATTTTCACAGAGCCCCCCTCATACCAGCATTCAGCTCTGGCCAGTGGCCAGCCCGGCCATGCCCTCTACAAGGGGAGCCTAGAAGACAAGGCGGTGGGCCCATGTGGTCTTCCTCAAGCTTACAGAATGCTGCTCCTCCCTGGAAACCCATATTCTGTCAATACTCATGATGAACTATTCCAGCAGGGGCTTCTGGGATCCACTCACCTTGGCCGTGATAGTAAAAATTTTCATGTATGGTTTATGCTGCTAAATGTTCCTTTGCTAGAATGCAAGGTGGTGGAACCCAAGAGAACCGTAACCGCTCCATTCTGGCCCTTTCTAACAAAGTTCACCTGCTGTCTTAGCTGTGCCAGCACCTGCCTGGAATTTAACATGTTTCAAAGCTGTCAAGTAATAGAAACATAACTCAAGTTTTAATTTTAATCTGAGAAATAGCATTTGTGGCAGAGAATGTCTGGGGAGATAACGTGCAGGCTAAGCTTGAGGGTCCATTAGTCACTGGACTGTCTCTTGGTTCTTTTTGCAGCGCTGTTCACGGCCTACCTGGGTGCTGCTCTGGCTAATGTGCTGTCCGTGGTGAGTCAGTGTACGCTAAGAACACGCCACCGTGCCCTTCCAGCTGTTTTTGGGGCTCCCCAAAGCCAGTGCGAGCCTCTCCTCTGGGAACCCCTCCCCAGTTCATCCCTCTCGTCTCCAATCACACTGTCCACCTTAGCACCTGCTACACAGGAGGAGCTGGGTTTAAAAAGCGTAAACGTCAACCATCAGTCAGATCAGACCCCATTGCCATTGGGCCAATGGAGCTTCTTACAGAGGGCTAACTTGAGCATTATCTTGTAAATTGAATTCTTGCATCATCCCCTAGAACTTCCCTTAAATCTTCATAGTTTAATTTTTTAAAAAAAATCTTTATAGATCAACTGCCCAACAAGCTTATGGGCCAGTGTACATCTTTGTCCATCCCTTGACAACTAGGAGTTGAGGCGGTCATGAGGGAAAGCTCAGGGAAGACAGGGAACCAAGCCCCAGCCATACCTGAGAGAAGCCAGAGCTGCTGGCTGTGGGCATGTGCAGCAGGCCAAGAACCTCCTGGTTGTGCCCTGGTGTGAGGTGGTGTTGAAGTCAGGAGGAGCCACATGGCCAGTTCCAGCCCCACAAACCCTGGGTTAGGGTCCCCGACCCAGAGCAGAGCTATTAGGGCTCAGCCCACAGTCAGTGCCTCCCTCTTTTGGATAAGGGTTCAAGGGCACATTTTATAAAAGCCTCCAGGAAAAGCCCCAGTGGTCCTGAAGGTGGGAACGGAGGCAGGCATTCCATGCACACCTGTGTGAATCCCTTCTTCATCCTCAGTGAAATTGGGCAGATTGAACTTAGCTCAGGAAGAAATTTTCTTAGCAAGAGAATTGGCCTTCCCTGACCCCATCCCTGACCCCAGTGGACTGGATTCCCCTCTGGGCCCCAGTGGCTTTTGCATGTACCTCTGCTCCCACACGCGGCCTTCAGTATTGTGTATACAGTATTGTGACGAGCCTAGTATACCTCTTCCAACTCCAGCCCGTGTGCTCCTTCAGAACAGGGGCCCAGTCATAGTCAAGTCTTTAGCTCTAGTACCTTTTGCAGTACCTGACAGGTGCACAAGAAATGCTGAAGGAGTGAGGGAAAGTCTAAAGGCACAAGCTGCCACCGTGGGAACATAAGAGCTGGGGCTGAATGGTCAGCCCTTGAAACACGGACGGGTAAGGAGAGCATGGAGTCTGGGCTCTGTGGCTCCTGTGTGCTCCAGGCCCTCCCCTCCTGCTGGTGGTACCCACCCTTACCTCTGATTGTCCAGCCCGTGACTAGGTGTCATGCGCCTTCCTCGGGCAGGGTACTGAAAGAGAAGCCAAACCAGAGGCTTCTGTTCAGGGATGGCTGGTCCTTTCTTCTGTGTGCAGATGCGTCAGAGGTGATACCACCCAATTTAGGCTTTTTTTTTTAAATCAAGTGTACTTTCTGTGTTCCTATGATGTTTAAGATGCTGTGTTGATCACTCTCAGGGATACAAAAAAGTGCAGGCTATTGACTCACTCCAAAGGTATTTCCAATCTTCTCGAGGAACAGGGGATAAACATGTCGAGTGATGTTTATGAGCCCATCCAAGCCCTCCACACACGAGAGGACTTAAGAGCTGTGTCCTTCTGCTTTCTCGCTGGCACTTGTATGCACTGCTCCGTGCCTTCCACAATGCCACCCTCTACTTGACACTCATGGCCACGTGCTAAGGGCTATTTACAGAGTCCTCAGTATGTACTAGGCACCAACTCTCTAAGTAGACACTCTTATCCCTACTTTACTCTTGAGGAAATAAGTCTCGGGCAGATGAAATGCCTTTAACAAGGTGATTGGAGCTGAGATGTGGATCTGGGCCTGTGGGACTCTAGACCTACATAGTCTCCCACTGTAGGGCTCCAGGGGGTGCTTCCCTAAACACACTGTGCTGTGTGAGCAGGGCTTTAGGCAGACTCACGGGATGGAATTCATTACTCTTGATATTCTTACAGCCACAGTTCTGGCTGCCATAGTTCTTCTTCAGGCCCTATCCAGCAGTGCCATCTTTGAGCACACACGTTACTGGCATTGTTATATCCATGGTATTTACCCAAGGTCTTTACTGCTTAAAATGAAATGGGGCGGGGGGTTGACGGAACGTGATTTGGTCTGCCTCACAGTTGAGTCTGCAGGCTCCCTGTCAACAAGCTCTCCACTCAAATGATCTCAAGGAAAAGTGGGGAGGCACATCAGAAAGGCTCAAGGCATCTTAAGGAATAAAAAAAAACAGGTAAATCCCATGAGAAGGGAAGCTGGGAATGGGTGATCCCTTTGAGAAGAGAGGTTCCTGCCCTCCACCACCAGCCCCTGGGACTAGGAGATCACGTCTCTGCCTCTCTCCAAATGTCTGTTCTATCTCCGTGTCTCTCCGCAGTGGGTTTCTTCTGCTGCACACAGTGCCCCAGTGGCCACCCAGCAATGGTTGGCTCTCCAGTCATTTCAGACCAAGACCTCAACCTCTCTTAGTTCAAATCCTCAAAAGAAAATTCAGTTCCCAGGCCATCTGCCTGTGGAAATTGCATTTGAGTCAAGTCCCTTGTTCTAGTTCAATCAGCTGTGACCAAAGAGAAAAAGGTCATGAGCTACAAAATGGCTGCCAAAGCCACTCCTTCAACAGGGGCTATGGGAAAAGACAGGCAATGGTCATGGTTCCTAGAGTTGGAGGTAGAGCCTGGCCAGACAGCCCAAGACAAAACATGGTTTCTACATAAACCCACATTCCATATTATAATACGGTTCCAATGGCTGCATTTTGAAGAATGTGTGTCCACCTGCTACAATGTGGACAGAGAGCACTGACATGATTTTATTTATACTGGTCAAGAATTAAGTATTATTCCTATCAATGCTCACAAAGATCTGTCGTCTACCCAGGGATGGAGGGGCTTGATAAGGGCTGACAAAACAGGCACAAGCATCTGATATAACCAAGGCTTCTCTTGTGTGTCTCCCCTGCCCCCCACCCAGTTTGGACTACCACCGTGCACCTGGCCCTTCTGCCTCTCAGCACTCACCTTCCTGCTCCTGACGACCAACAACCCCGCCATCTACAAGCTTCCACTCAGCAAAGTCACCTACCCAGAGGCCAACCGCATCTACTACCTATCCCAGGAGAAAAACAGAAGAGCATCAACCATAACAAAGTACCAGGCCTATGATGTCTCCTAGGCTGCCTTTTCCAAAACACTCAGCCTTCAGCAGGTTGTCCCGGTCCCCAGGCTGAAGGCCATTCAACTTCCCTTTCTGTCTGTTTTGTGATTTTCCCTTCAAGCAAGCCTACACCCTAGTTATTCCCCTGCATAGGGACATGCATGTATAGTCACCATTTAGGAACCTCTCAGGTCCAAGATGCACAACGCTTAGCAAGGATACAATAGTTTAGACTCCATACCCATAGCTCACTCCAGAAGAGCTCCCTTGGAGGGGATTTTCCCTCTTCTGCAAAATAAGCCATGTCACTAAAGAGAACTCATCAAGGAGACAGTGATTGGTGGCATCCACTTCCAACTCAGTCATTTCATGGAGCCATGCACAGTGCCAGGGAACATGTATCAACCTGGAAGGCGATGGGGTGGTTCTGTCCCAGCTCTGCCTCTAATGAGCTCCTGCCATGTTGGGTGAGCACATCCCTGCTCTCAGCCTCGACTTCTTATTAGTTTCATGACAGGGAGGGACTCTACAGTCCCTCCTACCACAGAAGTGTTGATTCTTCTCTCTCTCCCATAAACTGACAAAATGAGCATGACTATCAAATAATTACAGTAAATAATAGATGGAGGACTTACCTGGAGACAAGGCAGGAAAATGTTTATATTCTGAGATTTGTTCTTGGGTCATGAGAAGATGTTCTCCAGATTTGGGGTTAGGAAACTAAACTCACTGGAAATGCCAACATGCCTTCCTTTAAATACCAGAAATATTTCTGGAAATGTCATAAGATGAAAACCGATCTTTTTCAACACTCAAATCATGTTTTAAACAAATGTGTTTTCTTTTGTAGCATAGATAAGCATTCTCTTATTAAATGGTTAAGTTCACAAGGTGGTATCAGGGTTTTCTTGAAATGGAGCTCACCTACCCTGTTCACACATTGCCCATTTGAGGGGATTTTCATGGTCAAGCAAGTGTCTGACAAGAGATGAGGAAAAGTTAAAAATCATCAGTAGATGGTTTGATTTGCTTACAGAGAGAATTACACTGAAATGACCAAGGTCTTTGTTTTTTCTGTTTCAGTAGAAGCACAGGTATTAACAACACACCTCACTTTTTAGGGAATAGTCTTTTAGTCTTGCACCCCAAAATTACAAACCCACCCATACTTCAATGGCCAATAACTCTTGTTATTTAGTTACTCTGGTTACAGCATTAAGCTCCTAACTCTCAGGACCCCTTTGTGGGAATCCATGTGGCTCAGCCCTCCCACCCTGCCTCCACAGCACAGGAATAAACCTCTCCAGTGCCTCAGTGGACACCCTTCCCTCCACACCCTTCCACATTCTCAATTTAGCATGGTGGGATGAGGACATAAGATGGGGGAAGAAGGCCAGGGGCAGGAGACACAGCCTCTAGAAATGCAGCTTTAAGGAAAGAATTACATTTAACCGAAATCCATCATTTGGAAAAAGCTGGTGTCTATGTTCATCTTTTCCTTCCTCTGTCTGCCCTGAGATCCCAGCCATCTTCTGCTGGCCCAAGAGCACTGTGGTGCCTCTTTCTCCACCAGGTCATATCTAGCCATTATGACTTCTCCAGGAAAACTGAATACTTCCTGCTGGAAGCAAATCCCCCATATGGGAAAGGGGAATGAGTCACACTCCAGAGGCTACCTCTGAGTTTGTGATCACACCTTGAGGCCAAGAAGGTCTCAGGCTATATTTTAATGACCATGGAGTTGTGGCTCTCTGAAGATCAAGCAACCAGGGATTTCCCCAGATGGCTGTTTCTGCTCACAGCTCACTCAGCTGCCCCAGAACTCTTAAGTGATGACATCGAACCATTAAAATAGCACTTTCTGTGCATTTTCCACCAAAGTATTATAATCTGAATTTATGAAGACCAGGAAATCCTCCAAACGCATACCATTCTGCTTAGTGACCGCTAACAAATCCCTTCAGGTGTTCTAAATATTTCAAAATCCTCATCTATAAAGCAAATTGAGTTGGCCCAGGATATCGAGCAAGGTGGGAATAGATGGGATAAAAGAATTCAACCTATGAAAATGTATGAAGACCACAGGATTTCAAAAGTCTTATCAGCACCTTATTTAGGTGCTACAGAGGAGAGAGTTCCTGAGAGCTGGTTGTGCAAGTGAGTGCACCGCTCCTATCACACCTATGGCTTGAAATCAGCTGTGGAGGTAATATTTCCACCATAGAATCAACAAACTACAAATGTGGGCTTTTCTACCCAGATAGCCGGCTTCCCAGCACACCATGGCCAGGGCAGTTTAGCTGGAAAGAAAGAGAACTGTTGTAGGGCTCCAGACCAGAAGTTCAGAAACTAGGCTGAAATACTCAATGCAACAACACCACATAGATGCCATCCCACATACAGGAGGCATCTACAAGGACAGAAAATATGTTCTCAGGCATTAAAAAAATCTCAGAAGACTTACCCACCAAGTCTAATACTGAAAGCACACCAGGTGGAAGCATCCAGATAGAACAAATCCAGGAAATGTTGCAGGGATACAAGAAGTGCAGGGAGATTGAACATCTCGGTGATGCTTGTTGTTCATTAGGACCAAAGGAGAAAAAAAATAGAAGGAAAGTACCTGTAACAATTTAAAGTGGACTATTAAATGATAAGGAGGGAGAGGGGGACAAAAGAGGCAGGAGAGCCTATAAGAGTACTTGGCTTATACAAAACCTGGTAAGTTTAAAAAGTTCACAAGGAGGAATAAAAGGCTGATCAGAGCATCCACCATGAAAACAAAATTAGAATTATGATTTTTGAACTAGAAGAAAGTCCCATCTTTCCAATGGAGAATAGCAAAGGAGGAAAAATAAGCCATCCCTCAAAAGACAGTAAATATAAAAAATAAACAGAAGGTAGAAACTGGTCATAATATAACATAATGTAATTAATATAATAATAATATTATAATATAATCATTAAATAATTATAATAATATAATAATATAATTATTAAATAATAATATAATAATATAATATAATTGACTGAAAAAATGTTAACTATTAAATTTACCACTGGAAGGCAGAGACCCTCAGGTTGCTTTTTTGGAAAAAGGCTTTACAATTTGCTGTTCACAAAAAGAACACCTAAAAGAAAGACATAAATGTTTAAACACTAAAAAATTATAATAATGCAATAAGATAAATAAGAACTAAAAGAAAGTTCGGGGCATCAACCATAATACCTTGAAAAGTGAAATTTAAGGCAAAAAAAAAGGTCAAAAAACAAAAAATATATACATTATTAGTCATCAGGAAAATATGAATCAAAGCCACAATGAAATGTTCTTTCATCCATCAAAATGGCTAGTATCAAAGCCAAGAAACAACAAGGGTTGGCAGGACCTGGGGGAAAACGACCCTTCTGCTCTGGTGTGGGAATGCAAACTTGTGCAGCTGCTATGGAAAACAGTACGCAGGATCCTCAAAAAAAAATGAGAAATAGAACTACCTTATGACCCAGGCAATCCCATTTCTGGGTATGTATCCAAAGAATACAAAAACACTAACTCAAAAAGATAGCTGCACCCCCACATTCACTTCAGCATTGTTTACAAGGCTGAAACATAGAAACAAGCTAAGTGTCTACTGATAGTTGAGTGAATAAAGAAAATGTGCCACAGATATACAATAGAACATTATTCAGTTATAAAAAAAGAATGGAATCTTGTCATTTGTGACAACATGGATGGACTTCAAGGGGATTATATTAAGTGAAATAGGTCCAACCAAGAAAGAAAAATATCATATATTCTTACTTATATGTGGAATCCAAAAATAAATAAATGAATTTTAAAAAAAAAAGCAAGTTCATAGAAACAGAGAACACATTGATGGTTGCCCAAGCTGAGAGGTGTGGGGTGGGAGAAATGAGTGAAGTATTTTTTTGTTTAGTTTCAATAAATTAAAAAAAGGAAAGAATGATGTGAAAGGAACAATAGGACAAGAGTACAAAATTATCACAAACACATATAGTACACAATCAGCCTCAAGCACATCAAGCAAGAACTGGCTGAACATCAGGGAGAAATAAACAAGTCAATAATTGTAGGTTTTACCAAAACCTCAGAAACTGATACATCAAAAGAACAAAAAATGAATAGAAACATGAGAGATATGAACAATGGAATTAGCAAGTGTGAGCTATTATTTACATGTAGGATTCTAAATCTGCCCCCTCAACGTCCTCTCTCCGAAAAAAAAAAAACAAGCAGGGGACACATGTTTTTCTGAAGCATCCCTAGAGAATTAACAACATAGGCCACGTATCACACCGTAAAGCAAGCTTGGGATCCTCACAAAATGCTGGTGGGAAGTTGCCTATGCAGCCACTCAGGGAGCAGGTCCTCAGTATTCAGTCACGTTAAGTCTACACACCCTCTGTGACCTAGAAATTCCCCTCCCCAAGCAGATACGGTCATCAGGAGAAGTGTTGCCTGCTTCCATAGCGGCTGTCAGGACGGCTACTCCTGCCCGCACTCACCATGGCGGAAGAGCCAAAGAAGGCGAAGGCAAAGTGGAGCCCCCGCAGCAGACCGCGCCCAGGACCACAGAGCAATGTCGAAAGATCTTAATTAAAAACCTAGTGGCGGGCAGCCCTGGTGGGGCAGCGGTTTAGTGCCGCTTGCAGCCCGGGGTGTGATCCTTGGAGACCTGGGATCGAGTCCCATGTCGGGTTCCCTGCATGGAGCCTGCTTCTCCCTCTGCCTGTGTCTCTGCCTCTCTCTGTGTCTCTCATGAATAAATAAATAAAATCTTTAAAAATAATAAAATAAATGAAAACATACTGCTGTGCTAAAAACACAAATGTGACACTTATGATCAGTATCACGTACATTAATCAAAAACGCACGCACGTCAAACAACAATACACAGTTTGCAAGCCCTCAGACAAACAAAAAAGAGAAAAGACCGTGGAGTATAAAAACGAAAAGACATGCTCCCTTCCGTAGGTTCAAGGCAGGCAGCCTTCCTGGGCCCGTGCAGATCGCAGGCAAGGACTACGCCGCAAGGGTAACTCAGCTCGGCCAGAAGAAAATCTTAACAGAGCGGGGCTTAGAGGGCACTCTGCTCGGCCCCTCGAGCCTCGGGCTGGCGGCATCCCACTGGCCCCAGGACTGAGGCCGGGTCAATCTGCAAAGCCCTCCAGTGTCCATTCTGCCTGCACCCACATTTGGAAGCATTCCGGCCACACTTTTTTTTTTTTTTTTAGATTCTATTCATTTATTCATGAGAGACAGAGAGACAGAGAGAGAGGCAGAGACACAGGCAGACGGAGAAGCAGGCTCCATGCAGGGAGCCCGTCGCGGGACTCGATCCCAGGACTCCAGGATCACACCCCAGGCGGAAGGTGGCGCTTAAACTGCTGAGCCACCCGGGCTGCCCCTGGCCACACTTTTAAGTGCATATTTTTATATATTAGATATAATTTGTATATATTAACATAATTCTGTGCTTTGCCTCCAAATTAGATGACCATCATAATCCTGAGAGTAACAACAGTAATGTTGTATATAATGTTATATATTTCTGCTTTTCGAATGTTTTAGAATCTCAGATAAAATGTGGAGGGAAAGGGAAATTTTGTGGTTGTCGAGAATGACAGCAGTGGCATGGAGACTATCCGCTGAGTT